ATAAATATATGTAACTTTTATTTGTCAATTTAAAAGATTGAGTTAAATTAAATGAAAAAGGAAGTATTTCCTGAGTACCCACCATGGATTATATATTGTGCTGGACACTGGGGCACAGCAGGGACCTACTCGTGTGGCTTTATGGTCTAAGCAAGGAGACACTTGATAAAATCTTCTCAGAGACATTCATCAAATGGTTACACAAATAGGCACGTTTAGCGGGATGGAGAGTGCGAAGCTGGTTGCTGTGACTGGGGAGGCTCCCTGAGGGGTGCTGCATCTGGGAAAGGAGAGGCCAGGTAGGGAGAGAGAGGAGGGCCTCCCAGGGCCAGGGCCAAGGATTCTTCTCTCCAAACCCGTGCCCAGTGGGTTGCTTGGCAGCTTGGCCTTCCTCATGGTGTCATTCTGAATATGCAGGAGAAAGGCCTGGCGGGGAGGCACAGGGCAAGAAGGCCGGGGTGGTCTGGGCCGAACCTGGAGCCTGGCTGGTTCCCGTGCAGATGAGGGAGGGAGAGGAGGGTGTGCTTTGGCCCAGGCAATCATCTCATCTCTCCTTTTATGCTTGTGCCCAGCACTGCCTAACAGAGACATAATGCAAGCCACAGATGGACTTCAACATTTCCTTAGAGTCACATTTTTTTTTTAAAAAGTAAAAAAGAAAAAGGCAGAATTAATTTTCATATTTTATAAAATAATCAATGTTTATATTTAATGTATCCCAAATATCATTATTTCAAAGTATAATCAACATAAAAAACGATCCATGAGGTATTGAACTTTCTTTTCCTGGACTACCCCTCTGCAATCCTGTTGAGAATTTCACACTGACAGAGGGTGTCCGTTCCCTCCAGGGAAACTCCCTACTGGTTTCTGGAGCAGGAGAGACAGGGCACATATCAGGACATGACAGGTGGAAGATTTGACAAAGATTCTTTGACCCCACGGAACAGGGAGTGACTTTGTGGTACAAGCTGTCCTTGCAGGTGGCACAAACTGAAGGGGGGAGGTTGCCAAACATCTAGGAGAAGGTGTGGGGAGAACCTCACAGCATGTGCTCAGAAGTTGTGGGGAACATCCTGAACCTTTTGAGGTTGACCTTAGCGCAAACAATCACCACAGCATCTCACAACCTGGCCTGGAGCCCCTGCAGCCAAAACAGGGGTTCAAAGCTCCCTCCATGGTATGTCACCTCATTTTCCAGTATCACTTCCTCTGGGAACAAAGGGCCTCCTGATCCTTAGTCTTTCCTTCTCTTCTTTCCTACAGTCTGGGCATAGCTGAATAAACAACCAACTCACTTTTATATAGTTGATACTCAGTTAATCCTTGCAACAACCTGGTGGGAGATGGGGCAACTCTTACCCCACCCATTTCATTGAGATGTGAGCAGTTCAGGGGACCAGGATCAACACAGGCGGACAGCCCGACTCCTGCCCAGGCTCTTTGTGGTTTATTGGCTGGTGAAATTCGTCAGTTGCCATTTGTAGAGAGCATTTGCTTTAAAACAGGTGCTTCCAAGGAAAGACCTCTTGTTAGAATTTTAGACAACATAGCAGGGGTGTGAGAGAGAGATTTGTGGGGAATGTCCCTCCACTGGCCCCTTAGGGCACTGCTACCACTCTGCGGCTGAGGTGGTGGATTGCAATGTCAGACCAGGGGACTGGATAAGGGAAAGTTGACATCACGGTGGAAATGGCCCCTTCCCCATATACTATTAATTTTTTTTTTTGTAGTATCAAATAGCAGTGAAAATATTTTTGAGGTAGCTGCCCTAAATTTTGAATGTGTTCTGAAGATCAAAGTTCTTGAGGTGATAAAAATGAATACACTTCCTACAAAAGCATAGAAAAAAGGAGAAGCATGACGCTTTCGTCCATAAGTCACTGGATTTCAAAGAAACCTCTGTATGTGCAACCCATGCAGAAAAATCCCTCCAAAGAAATACTTATTAGTTGCTTTTAAATTGGGTTTGATTTAAATAGTAGTAAAGGCACAGATG